ATTTTTTTTTTTTTTTTTTGAGACGGAGTTTCGTTCTTGTTACCCAGGCTGGAGTGCAATGGCGCGATCTCGGCTCACCGCAGCCTCTGCCTCCTGGGTTCAAGCAATTCTCCTGCCTCAGCCTCCTGAGTAGCTGGGATTACAGGCACGCACCACCATGCCCAGCTAATGTTTTGTAGTTTTAGTAGAGACGGGGTTTCACCATGTTGACCAGGATGGTCTCGATCTCTTGACCTCGTGATCCACCCGCCTCGGCCTCCCAAAGTGCTGGGATTACAAGCGTGAGCCACCGCGCCCGGCCTGCAAATAGAATTTTCTTTGGCAAAATATATGTGGAACTCCTTTACTGTTTAAAAAACATAAAAAAGGCTTTTTTTTTTTTTTTTTTTTTTTTTTTAAGAGGTAGGGTCTCACTCTATCATCTAGGCCTAAGTCCAGTGGCATGATCATAGCTCACTGCAGCCTCCAACTCCTAGGCAGAAGTGAACTTCCCACCTCAGCCTCCTGAGTAGGTAGGAATACAGATGTACACTACCATGCTTGAATAATTTTTAATTTTTTTTGTAGAGACAGGGTTTCACTATATTGCCTAGGCTGGTCTCAAACTCCTAGGCTCAAGTGATCCTCCCATGTCAGCCTCCCAGAATGTTGGTGTTGCAGGCATGAGGCATTACATCTGGCCAAAAAAGGCTTTATTTGTGTTACTGACCATCTGTCAACTTTTGGCAAGTCATCTCTGTCTTTTCCGGTATTAAAAAGCAAATAAAAACCCTAAGAATTTACTATAGTTTGTAAATGGAAAAGCTAATAATTTTGGCTAGATCAGAGAAATGGAATTTGAAGTTTTTGAAATGTAAACATTCAGTTTTGTGTTCTGAAAAGACAGCTAAGTGAACTCATGAAGTCTAGTTAAAGTAATATAAATAAATAACCTATGCAAATAAACAATAGTCTGTTTAGAGTGGTAGAAAAGCTTTTTTGATTCTGGTGGGAAAGTTGTTTTCATTTTTTTACTGTGAAGTAATGATTTCCTACAATATGGTATTTATGATCTCATAAATGTAACATGGTGTGTGTGTGTGTGTGTGTGTGTGTGTGTGTGTGTGTGTGTGTGTGTTTATTTTATTTATTTATTTATTTCTGGAGACAGGGTCTCACTCTGTTGCCCAGGCTGGAGTGCAGTGGCACAA